TGTCAAATCATAAGTGCAAAATCTTAAAAATGGCTGGAACCTCTGGTATACTAGATATGAGTTGCAGCAGAGCAAATGTGATTAATAATGTCATGCTACCTATTTCAGTGGGAGTTCAGCAGATATTAGTAATGTGCTTTTGAAAATCCCATGGACTTACTTTGTACTTCTACTAGTTAGTAAAATTAAATCGTTTTGAAGAAATTGGCCCTGAGCTCCTGGGTGAGAATATACTTCCCATTACTTAATTTCCCTTCAGATCAGTCTTGAAATGTTTAAAGTTCTTGGCTGAATAGCTTTGATGTTGCTGAAACCAAGTCTGAAACCGAAATCTGAAGGAGAGCTGTTGTTTCCATTTGTTGTCCTCTTAGAAGTGGGTTCCCTTTAGAAAGATGACCTTTCATATATTTATAGCGAGGGGATCTGTTTGAGGCAAAGGAAGAGAATAGTCTAAATCCTCAAGTGCATGCAGTAGAACAGAGGCTTTTTTTAGATTTACTAAATTAGCAGAGGAAGAGGGAGACAAGAAGACATATGCAAGGCACTATAGGCACCAGGCTTAAGTATCTGAGATCACTGAGCTAGTGTGGCAGTTATCAAGTTCAAGTCCAGTCAATATGAGCAGTTAAAAATGAGCTGAACTTTGCTGTTCTGGATGTCCTTCTGGACTGCTTCACACATGGATGCATACACATTTATAAAATACATATATATACACACATATTTGAGCATGTGTGGATGTATCTCCTTCCCAGGAGTAGAAGATAGACTGAAAGGGAAAGGGAAGAGGAACATGTTCTTTGAAAGTTTCCTAAAAGATCTTTAGAACTATGCCACTTCTGGGGACTGACGGGTTTGAGGCTGGGCAGTAGGCACACATTGTTTAAGCTCCCCATTGTTCACAATGAAGACCATTCACTATTCCCCTGCCTCTGTGTGTGTAAGCTCCATAGCCTTAATTCTGAAGCTGTGATCTTCTTGTTTCTGCATGTCTGTATAGCTACAGTAGCTGTTTTGGGGAGAAGCTGCTTTTGAACATATTCTGCCTGCAGTGATAACCGAGGAGCAGATGGACAGAGGTCCCAGGGAATGCAAAGTGTGCAGCACTGTATGTGCCTGCATAAAACAAAGGCTTTCCACGCTATGCTGGCTCCATCTCTATGGGTATGCTATAGTAGGCTTTTACACACACGTGGATTACTTTGAAGATTGTCTGACGTGTTATATGCATGCATATACACTATGTGTGTCTTTAAAAGAACATTTATTCTGGGCAGCTTTTCCTGCTACTTTTTTGCTATTGTCCTTCATGGGTAGCTTGCTTTCCTTCTGCTGTATTTCACAAATATTAAAAATAAGGCTATCAAGATTAATTGAATTTTAATATTTACTGTCCCTTCTAAATAGATTTTTTTTCACCTAGGTGTACAGATCACCTTCTGAAGAGCTAGATTTACTGTGATTGGTCACTAATACACCATTTTTGCTAACTAGAAAAATTCTAAATAGATTTGAAATTTAGACTTTAAAATATTAGATATACATCAGCATTTTTTCTTTCTTAAATAATAATTTGCCAAAGACACTGGACTGAAATGCCAGATCCCCTCCTATACTGGGGAAGCTGCTATGTCACTTAACGTTACTTAAATTGGTAGAGGGAGGTTGCTTTATTGTTAGGTGTTGTGTAGGGTGCAATCTCCTGTAGAAACTCCACTGCACTGACATGTCGTCAGTGTAAGTGGTGGCTGGGTAAGACAGATGTGGTTGGGATTTCATATACCAGAGGAATGCCTCTAGTTTTGGCTGATGGGGGCAGGGGGAGGGCTGTGGGGGGTGTAGCGTGTGATGGAGACTGTGGCACCCTTCAGGTGACTCGTTTGATCCTGGATTGGGAAGCCCTGAAGAGGCTTCCAGCTACCTGTATGTTACCTCTGGATGTCATTCTGATCCAAGGTCTAGGTGAGGTGTCTTTGCTTTGTACCGAGTAACCAAGGTCTTAGCCTAGGGACGTGACACAGGTCCACAGAGGGATGCAGCTCCCATAGTTGGGAAAGTTTCAATGAGTGACTCACACAGTGAGAGAGTCACATCTGTGAATTTCTGCAGGATCAAGCCCTGGATCTGTGGTGAGGGGTTAGATATGTGGACAGCAGTTGTGAATTTTAAAATAGATTCAATTAGAACTTCTTATGTTTCATTGTTGGTCTCTGAAAGTTTTCCAGTAGCTTTTAGGACTCCTCCAAAAATCATATGTGATGAGATACCACTGGGTTTCAAAGTTCAGCTTCACGCAAAACCATGTCAGTGCTTTCTACTTTCTTCTCTCATTTAAATAGAATTGACTGCAATTCATTTGACAGCTTTATAGCCTGGGAATAGCTGTCTGTGAGATTTTAGTATTGGAACATGTACGGAGGGACAGGGCCGTGTGTGCCACATGCCTGTCCTCTGACGTGGAAGATGACGCCATACCAACTGGTGGCACTGCAGAGCTGGAGTCCCCCTGTTAATATATCCATGTCTGTAATACTGCTCTCCCTACCTACTTGCAGTCTTTACAGACAAACAAGGAGTACAGGGAACAGCTAAAGCAAAACAATAATCAAGAGGAATTGTATGCTGAGTGTCTTCACATACAATGTTATCTTCAGATGGGAAACCTGGCCTGAAAAATAGTGCTGAATCAAGGGATGAAGAAACTACAGTCTATGCTGTTGCAGAGACCAAACACTTTATAATGACTACCTCAGCCCACAGCCCAAAGTCGGACTGATGATTGAGACTTGCAGACCAGGCCCATGGCCCGTGTTTTTGTCCTTCTACAGCCATGTTGGTGCTTCGACAGCAGTTTTTGTCACTGCAGTGCCTCTGAGGGCCATGCCCTGACATTGGTTATGTTTTCTTTTACCAAACTGCTACAGGTCACAGCCAAAGAAGACCTCGAGATGCAATAAATCAATGTTGGCTCTGAGGTGCTAGACAGACTGGATCCCTTCCCAGTTTGAACTTGGGAAGAGGACATACCACAGGAAGAAGTGTTGGATTGAAGTAAGATACAAGCTGTTTGGAAAAGCTAAAATAAAAAATAAAACAAAACAAAACAAAATAAAACCACCACAACAACCCTGAAGTTGCCTGGAAAAGCTAAAATAGAATCAGGCTTTCCCATGTAATTCTAGCCCTAAATTAGGAGTGCAGTGAGACTGGAGAGTAACGGTGTTTCCTTTCTTTTAGAAGAAAATGGGCCATCCTAAATCTGCACGTCCATGCTATTGGATCAGATGTTGTTGTCTAGTAGAGTTCTGCAGGCAGCAGTTTGGGGGCTTAAGTCCCTAGCTGTTGTCCTTCTTTCACAAATGGTAGAGGTCTCACAGCAACAACGAGCAAGGATATTTTAACTGGCAATATTGACAGGGACAATTTATAGCCTATTGTGTGGATGCAGCTGCTGAGCATTCTCATTCCTGACTCTATTTTTGACAAAGGACATTTAACAAGGAATATCTTCATACCTTAGCATAATTTATATCTCACCCATTTGCATTTTTTCTCTGTTCCCTTCCTCCAACTTTCCCTCCTTTCCGTACTTCTCCTCACACACACACACCTCAGGAAAAATAAAAAAGTGTGTGTTTGGGGCAATGAAGCTAAAACCATTATCACACACCATGAATAAAACTCTCTAGCAGAAATAATGCTTGTTCACATGTCAGGTCATCTCAACATCACTTTTAGATTCCTTTTTCAGCTGTTTTTCTCATTACTGATACTATTTTCTGACAGTAAAGTGTCTAAATTAAGTGGACAGCACAAACTAAAAAGAGCAGAGTAACATCCCATAAGTAGTTGAACAGTGGGTGGAAAATGGTAGTAGACTATTTTTCTCAAGGGAATTGGGTAGGGTCAGCATAAGGAAAGAAAAGCTGAGATTCTCATTTCTATCCATGCTTTTTTCCTGGGGTACAGCGCAGTCACATGACATTAAGGACACCTAACAACACGTTGCACCTAGCAGTCCAGAAGTGGTCACCCCATGGGTGTCCTGCTCTGAGGAGATGGCTTGTTCCACCATTGCTGCAGAGGCTAGCTGGGGTTTCAGGAAGCTGGGCAAACAGCCTTAAGATTTTCTGGGTGATGCCCAGAGAACCATACAGTTTAGGCAGAAAGAACTGATATAAATAAAAAGTAAGCGACTCGTGGCATCTTGGAAAACAGCCCTATTCTTGGTTCTTTCATCTGTTTTCCAAAGCTTCCCCTCTTTTCCACCATGCCTGCTGAGAGGCTCGGCCCTCTGGCTGGCTCAGCACACAGGAGAAAATCTGGTGTGGCTGTGATTGACAGGGCCATGGTGTCCTGTCAGGGAGGCTCTGTTTCAGAAACAAAATTGCTTTGGGAAACTGCAAAAACATAGCTTCCAGTGAACTAAACTGAAAATGCCTTTCCAACATAGGGATGCTCATCCTTTTGTTTCTGTTATCTATCTGCAGTTCTCATGGGGAGGCAGTGAGGTCTCTTTTCCTGGTCTGTGCTTTTCTTCCTTCTCTCCCCTCTCCCTGTCTTTCACTCCTGAAGTATCTCAGCAATGCCAGGAGGCTGGTATGCCCTGGAGGGTAAGAATAGCCTACAATGGCAGAGAAAACTCCTGTTGTTGTTTGCCTGCTTGCAGTTGTCTGGACAGAAGATCCACACAAGAGGTAGGAGCAATTGGACCTGAGAAGCTAGAGCTTTCACAAGACAACCTGTTAAAGCCTTAAGATTTGTTCCAGCATCCAAATTTAAGAGTCCTGTTCAACTCATCAAAATAATCCTTCATCAAAATAATCCTTCATCAATACGTCCTTGTGTCCAGGCTTCTCATTTCCATTCTTTACCCTTAAAATTCCTTTTTTTAATTTTCTTTTTTATTTCCTTTCTTCCCTGTTTAGGTCTCATCTCCTTTGGAAATGCCAAAATTGTTAGAACATCAGAAGCTGGAAGTATTGTGAGCCTGTTCAAACATGGAGCACTGGGACTCTCTGGGATTCTTGATTGTCACACTCAACTATAATGTGACTGTTGTGGGTAAGTACTTTAAACAAGCCTCTTCTTTCTTTCGCTGCTCTGTATCCTGAAGCCACCCAAGTGTCCTACTGATAATTTCTTGCTACACCTCCTTTATCCTTACAATAAGAAGCTGTTATTTAGATAAATGGTATGAGTGGTTAATGTATTTCTTATTAAACAGATTCCTACTCACTCTAGCATAGATTTTTTCTGAAGTTTATGTACAGTATTCTGGCTAGGTTTTAAAATTTGGCTCTTCTGGGTGCCTGAGCTTCCAGTCAGCTCTAATGGCTGCTGTAGGAGGGGTCATGGTAAAAACACACAGAAATAATGCTTTATTTATACCACATAAAGTGAATGGTAGAATGTATGCAGTAGCTTTAGCAATGAATTAAAAGGTTTAAAGAAGGGCCAAAAAAAAAACCCTTCTCTTTTACAGGAAGAAGTTTGTGGTTTATTACAGTTGTGGTTAATTACCATTGCTTTTCAATCTGTATAAATGAACAAAGTTCACATGATTTAAAAGAAACACAGTTGTGTTTTCCTCATCTAACAGTGACCTGAGTGCTTCTCTTTTTTTCTCCATATTTATATAAGCCACTGTTCTTTTTCATGGGCTACTTAGAGCAAAGTGTAGCCAGAGAAAATCTTTCAAGGGCCTTTCAAAGACCCTTTGCTTCCAGTCGCCACAGCTGCTTGTAGTTTGTACTCTGCATTGCAGGGAGCACCCAACTAAGGCACAGAGGAGGGTGGTGAAGGGGCTTGTTCTAGTATGTTTAATCAAGATTGAGTCATTAGGGAAGGTGATATGTGGAGGGGTTATCTCTAAAATGTATGTCATACTAAACTACTTCCTAAGGAGCCATTGATTTTTCTTAAGCAGCAGTCCCTATTGTACATGTTCTAATTAAAAATTGATAGTGAAATAGCATGTAGTATTTTGAGCTTAATTAACTAATCTGCTTCAAACACTTTGAGGTCCTCGCAGGGAAAAAGTGTTACCTAAGGATGAAGCATTGCTTACTAAAGATGACCGATTCTGTACAGCTGGTGTTTTCTATTGACCCACACTACGTTGAAAAGAGGGTAATAGTACAGCCTGTCACCAAAATGCAGGAAGCTGAAAGCACAGCAAAACCACCACTAAAGTTCAGGTGATTAAAGATAAAATGGAAAGAAAGGCCTCAATTTATTTATGGTTAAATAATGTATTATTTTGCTGGGAGCAGCAATATTTTCTGATGATCTCTCATGTGGCTTCTATATCCTTAACCTTATTGCAGCTGAAGTTTTTCCACTTCAGGGTGCAGCTTTACTGTTCTAGCCAATAATCAGCCTACTTGCCACAAATGGGTTTATATGGGGCATTTAAACTCCATGTTCAGTTGAGTATTTTAATATTCACACCCACTACAGGGAAATAGCTTTATGGAAAGTAGAAAAGGATGTTATTCAAGACAATACCTGTAAATAATCATATATTTTATAGGAAAAAATGTTCTGGGATCTGGATTTTTAAAAAGCCTTTAGAATGTGTATTGCTGTTGTTTCACAGACTGCCTTTAAAAGCTTGTCATGTGACATGTGCAATCGCTATTAATGACTTGAGGTTTTCAGTGCTTTTCTCAGCCATTAACTCCATATAATGAGCTTCTTTCAAGTCACTGACTCTTGCTGTTTGTCTGTCTGTGGTTACAGCTATTTTTTTTAACCATTCCTTAAAGCACAGAATTAATCTTATCACTCTTTTCTCTTTTGTTTGCTTGCTTTTTGTTCATAAGTGTTTGGGTTTTTTCCAACCTTGGCATGTTTTAAAAATATGTGAAATTAAACCAGCGAATTGTTAAATTAAATTACTTTTCAAAACTATATAGGGAGCTTGTGACAGGACTTAAAAGGAAACTTGAGAAATCCAAGCGCTAAACTTAACTTCAGGTGTTGATTTTTTTCCATGTGTTTGTACAGAGTATATTTTTAATTTTTTGACAATGTGACAGTATATCTTTAGGCCTTCCTGTCTTGTCCAAGAAAAAGATATTTTTGTTTACTTTGTTTTTTTTCTTTTTTTTTAAATAAATAACTTTTTCTCATTAACACAGCAGTGTGTGCAACTACAAAAAACCCCAACCCTTTTAATAAAAATCTACTCCATCCAAATTCCTCCAAGAAACTGTCATGAACAATACAGTTTCATTCAGAAGTTATGATATGTAGGGTACCAATGTCTGATTTTCAGTGTTATTGTAATGGAATAAGGCCTGATCTTTCCAATTAAAGTGGGTGAGATCAAGCCCTACCTAATGCGTCATACAAAAGAATTCAGGGAAAGATAAAGGAAGCAATGTAAGATAATACCAAGCTTGTAAAGCTTCACTTGGTGTTGACACAAGGAAGCTTTCAGGCTGAATGGAGAGAGCAGCTGTGCACCAAGGTTGGAAGACATGATCAAGATGGGGCAACCAAAGAAACAGCAGAGAGAAATGATTGGGTAACGTATGCACACACAGAAGTACATTTGTAGAACATCTTTCTTATGTTTGCTAATAGCACTTGTTAACTAGCTCACTAGTAAGCACCAGTCTAGTCACAACAGAGGTATTTTGTTGGCTGTAGCAAACTTTACATATAATTTCATGGCCAAGACCAAGAACAAATACTATGTCATGGAACAATCTTGTATATCTAGAAGTTCCATACTGTGTTAAATAACCTATATTATCAAAATCGGACAAAATTCAGGTGCGGAGGTATGAACCCAACAACAAGGAAGAACTGTAAGTGAAATGGGATTATGAACTGAGTTGTGAACTCTTTTTATTAGATTTGGACATAGGGTGTTTTCATTAGGCTGAGGTTTCCATTGGCATGGCTTATTGTACATCAAACTCCTACACTGTTGAGTCTAAATGAAGGTTGTGGAATGTGTCAGCTAACACATTTTCACACAGCTTTGAGTCCCAGTCCAAACAAAACTAAAGAGGATCTATTAAGAGGGGAGCCTGATCACAGAGGCTAGTTCTTCAAATGTTTTGTGTATAGAGAGAGCATCACTATATTCCTGCCTTCCCTTCTTTCTCAGCGCTCTGACTCCTTTTCCTTACCTTTTCTTCCCTTCTAGGAAAGATCTGGCTAATGTTAGTAATTCTGCTGCGAATGGCAGTGGTAGTGTTAGCAGGCTATCCACTCTACCAAGACGAGCAGGAGCGCTTCATCTGCAACACCCTGCAACCAGGATGCTCCAATGTCTGCTATGATTTGTTCTCTCCTGTATCTCACTTTAGATTCTGGCTCATTCAGACTGTGTCTATCCTGCTACCTTATGCTGCATTCAGCATTTATGTTCTGCACAAAGTAGCTATGTACATTGTAAGAATGCACAGTTTGGCACATGGATGCAAAGGGAATAAGGGTTTAGCAAGCCTCAAAGACCTGAAGGAGCCCTGTAGAAGTGCTGTTGTCAATAGATCAGGTTGTGGTGCAGACACCCTACGTGTCCTTAATTTTTCTGGGGCATATGCTGTTCATCTTCTTTTTAGGACACTACTTGAGGCTGCCTTTGCAGCTGTGCAATATTTCCTCTTTGGATTTTTTGTTCCTGAGCGCTTTTCCTGCTACCATTCACCTTGCACAAGTGCAGTTGACTGTTATATCTCTCGTCCCACTGAGAAATCCATCATGATGATTTTCATCTGGGGAGTCAGCAGCCTAACCTTTCTGCTTAGCCTCGCCGATCTTTTCTGTGCTCTCCGCAGAATCACAGCAAGAAACCAAAAGAACAAGCTGCTGCCAAACCTCCATGAAGAGAATGAGTGCATTTTAAACCTTCCCCCAGAACAGCATGGTAGCTCTTCTCCACCTCAGAATCAAGACTGTCCAGTATCAAATAGCAGCCAGACCAGTGATGGCTCCTGCTCACTTCTCTCTGAAGAGGAAGAGGCTGTTCTTCATCCTGAAGTGGTGTCTCAGCAAACTGCTAGCGCTAACCTTAACAGCAACAGCAATAAGCCTTGTATATCAGGAGATCTTGCTATTAAGCAAGATAGCGCTGAAGAACCCTTGTGTGCTAGTGATCACCAAGGAACTACATGTGGGCAAGTGAGACCCAGGCTTCAGCAAGACTTCATTAAAGATGCCCTGAGTTTGAGACCTCAGATCAAGTCTCACCTTGGAGTTTCTTCCTCTGTAGTTCAGAGCAAGCTTTTAGGATACTACCCTTCAGCTGAGCTAAAGAACCCTGATGCACAATCAAATTATAGCAGTACCAGTTGCTTGAGGTCAAAAAAGTCAGAATGGGTGTAGAGCCCTGAGGACCACTGCCCTATGACCCTGGCAGGACAAGTCATAGCATCTCTGAGGAGGTTTCAGGTGGTTTCAGCTGGATCTCTTGGCTATGATTATGCTGCAAAGACACTCTACTATGGTATGTTCCTCCAGAGATGAGGAAGCAAAATCTTTGGATTGGAGTTTGAAGGATATTGCATTAAAGGAACTGTTCTTCGAAAAATGTAGCACATTTTTGTTTTCTTCTGAGTGTAAGAGACTTTAAAAAGCTGTTGCATGTCACTGATATGACTGACCTGGTTTTCCAGCAGTACATGTGAACACTTGTTTACCCTAACCTAATTTCATTGCAAAAGATTGAGCTTAAGAAAGATGTGACTTTTCGACATAGTTGTATGTTGTCTACTCTCAGAAGGTTAATTTATCTCCTCATACTAAATTCTCAAAGCCTACTCTAAGAAACGATATTCAAGCAAGAAGAGTAGAAAGTGAATAAAAGAAAAACGCATGTTCTGTAGCAAAGCGTTAAAATGTTAAAAAAACCCTGGATCTTACTGATGGAAGGCTATACCTATCCTAGTTAGCAATGTCATGGCAGTACCTTTCTCTGCCCCTGATGTTAGCTGGCACAGTCTGACAACATCTGAATTATTCAGCTCTAATAGCCTCCCAAACAAGCTGGCTTCACCCAGATCACCTGTCGGAATGGTCCTGTGCTTGAGAATTGCTCAGGAGACAACTAGGTGGTGTGAGCCAGAAGGGTATCAGGGAGTGCTCCAGCAGTTTGGCAGTGCAGGGGCCTGACACCAGTGCCCGTGTCCTGGCTCTACTGACTGTGCACTGACATAGGCGTACTACTGACACATCTACAAGGTTTTACGTGTCTCAATCTGAAATAGTCCTACTGGGATCTTGATTTCAGTAGGAGGAATGAGTCACCTGACCTCGTTTAAGCATCTCTGAAGGTAAGGTGAGTCACTTTCTACATATACCTATTTCTCCCACAACACGATTAAGTCAGACCTGGGCTTAGGGAAAATGGTTTCTACCCTGAAAGGAGTATATAGTGGCAATGTCTATGTCAAAGTGCTCACTTTCTTTGTCTGACAGACTTCTTATGCTAATCAGTTGAAAATGTTATTGAGTGAATCACGGAAGATTTTATTACTGTCATGCTTTGTGCTTTCCTTCAATGTTAATTCTGTTGCATTTACATAAGCGTGGTCCAGCACTGAAGCACAGCAGTGTGTGAGCTGAATTTCTTTTAGCTACAAGTCAGTGGGGGTTGAAGGTTGCATATACCTGTAGATCATCAGTGGGAGTGGACGTGGAGGAGCATGTACTCAGAGAAAGGTACTGGTGGTAGCATCTTGTAAAACAGATTATTCAGAAGGTGGCAAGATCTAGTATTTGTAGATACTGCTTGGAGCTGGAGTATCTATGACACTGTTTAGACCCAGGCACAGATCTAGTATCGCTCAGCCTGCCATGTAACAAGTTTCTGTAATAACTTAGCGGCTGGCTCCTCTGTGCAGAACATAAAGGGACAACAGCTTCCACATTCTTCCTTTTCTCTCCTGCAGAAGTCTTTAGAACAGTTTGGCCTGTGACATCTGGGTATCATTTCTCACACCTGAAAGGTAAAGATTTAAGGTAAACACTTAATTACCTCTCATCTTCTGCATGCCCTCAAAAATTAGGTAGCTATACAGATAGACAGAACTGCTGTTTGGGTAGAAAAGCAGAATTTACTTCTGCCAGCAAAGTACTTTGGGATCCTGAGGTCCCAAAGCTATAGAGGTTTTTAATTACTACTTCCTAAGTAAAGTTTTTCTCTCTATTAGCTGTGCTTGTTTCTTTTATCATGTGTGCTTGTTGTATGATTTGTCATTTTCAGGGTAGGAGCAACATTAATTATTAAACTTATCATAGGCAGAAAAACATTAAATATTTAAACTCTTCATCCTCCAAAGCCTCTTTAACAGGGTCTGTGCTGATTACACATACCATGACAGAACATTGCAACAATGAGACCTTTTATGATTCATTGCATCTTCTCAGCTGTGAGAAGGAATGTAGGGAACAAATGTGGATTCAGTCTACTGCGTACATCCCTCAGCGTGAGATATAAATAGGGTAGGATAAATAATAAATGTGTTGTGGCTGGACACAGTTTGCTTTTTTGTGTCTCCAGTTAGACATGTTTTAATGACTGAGAAGTCTCATTTCAAATCAGAAAGATCCTGTTTGTGTTTGAAATGGAAAGATACAAAGTGAAATTAGTGAACTTCTTCCTTACTCTGTTTGCACTTTCTTCTTGTGAGACTGTGGCCTTTGGTTTGTGTCACTCGGCTGCAGACCTGGCTGCTTTTAGGACATGTGGACCCTTTGACTCATATTTTGGGGTCTGTGTAATAAGCACTTAATGTGTTTACAATAACTGCATATTTAAAAAGCAGGATTTATATGGACTTTTCACTGGGGACTGAATAGAAGCTTCTGGCATCAACAACCTGCTCCTAAGGAAATGTCTCTGAGTCTCTTCTAACAACTTTTTCCAAGTCACATTTATTAATGACAAAGACATAGTTTTACAAACTGGGTGGATGTACCAGTAAGGGAAGACCAAGAGAAGATGTGCTTGAGCTATTCTGAGCTTCCACAGCTCAAGCAAATTAAGTGATCCTTGGTAAGGGGATCCTCAGTGGAGAGGAGAAAATGGGAAAGAAGATCTGTTTGAAAGAACATTCAATAACACTGAATGTTAAGATGAAGATGTCTAGATGTCCTAGAAAGAGTGAGTAAAATAAATAATAGATGTGGAGCAAGAAAGCAACAAGATTTTCTGCTGTTGAAGCCAAGATTTAGTCTTTTAAATGTGTGTGTTGGTTCCAGAAGTCCTTCCAGAATGTACTTCATACTCAGAAAAATGTTACAAAAGCTACTGTTACATTTGCCAGTGCATTTTAAATCTTTTCTTAACCTGTGTACTTCAGAAAAGTGTTTCAGAATATGGGTTGAAACCACAATACTCCTAATACTGCCCTCAGGGAGCTTTGTCTTGGGTTCAGACAAGGCTGCCGTAGCTGCAGCGCAGGTACCACTTGCACCTGGAGATGGGTTCATGGAACAATATGTAAGATACGCCATATATTGCTCATCCACTCTTGTGTGGTATTGAACTTGAGACTACACAGAAAGGAATTGAACTCCCTGAAAATAGATTTGGAACTGATCAGGAAAACTGTGATAAAATAGTTTTCACATGGGAAATAAAATTTTTATTGGAAAATTATAAAATGCCTAACAGAATGTTGTTTTAATAGTATCTTCTACTGCATCATGGCACTCCTCTTGCTAAATAAGTATGTAGTAGGCTGCTGGAGACCTGGAATTTCCATGTTTTCCATGCATCAAATCAAGTAGCACTCAGAGTTTCTACAGCATGGGCATGATTTAAATAAAAAAAAAAAAAAACCAACACTTTTTCCTACGCCTAAATAAGATAGACTTTTAAAAACTTATTTTTATGAACAAAATTTTTCAATTTCTTTTGTTTTAGTTTGGAATTCAGTTAAAAAGCAAAAACAAAAAACCCAATCCAAAACCAAAGTAGAAGCCAAACCCCAAGTTTCAATCAGTTATAATCACTTTATCCTCTTGTCTCACACTCCTTGTTGAGTTGCTTGATTTGCTCCCATCAGCATAATGGAAACCCATGACTCTCTTCTCTTGTGAAATACACTGTAGACAGGTGTCTAGGGAATGCATAATTTCCCATTAGCACCAGTTGTTCTCCATGTATCCCTCAGTTCAGACCACAATAAGTATTAAATCTGAAGTTAACAATGCAGAGAGATCCTCAGTGTATTCTTTCATGTTATTAAAATTATCTGCCCTTACGTGATACATCATTATTGCAGTGATTATCTTTCTAGAAGGGAACATTAAAGAGAATATCAATTGCACATTATTTTATTTTAATGTCATGATTACAATGGAGAACAGATCATTTATTACCGCTTGTAGTATTTTAGGATAATAAAGAAATGCATACCCCAAAATAGGAAAGTAGAGTAGTTGAAAAGGCTGTTATTTAAATTCTGTCTTTTGCACTGCTTTTAATAGCCTGATGTTCAACTGATAGAGAAGCAATTTTACAATGTAATGCTCTTACATTGTAGCTGAGTTGCTAAAATGTTCTGCAAATTAGACGGTCTCTGTTCAAAGTCGCAGCATGAACTCTTGGCCTGTGATGCACATCTATGACAGTTCTGAAAAATAAGCTCACCAAGGAAGAAATCTGATTGGAAAGTATGAACTGTATCTCTGCAATTAAATCTATCCAGCACCCATGTAGCTAAATTACAGTCACAATCTACTTCAGTAGCTTTTGCCTTCTCTCACTTTCCCTTCTGTTTTCATCCATTTGGGTTTGACAGGCAGGATGTCCAAGCCATCTCCACAACTATAATTAATAGGAGTACACATACAGTGCTAAATCCAAAGACTTTTTATGATCCTGTGCCATTCACAACATGAAAATGCCAGGAGGTGGAGAGCTGTCTCTAATTCAGGTTCTGCAGCTAATACTTCAGGTTGAGTAGCAGATTAGCTTTGAAAAGCTTTCACTAATGAACAATTTACAGACGGAAGATGATGGCAGATTCTGAGCTTTTCTTTAGAAACTGAAGTTTATATACAGTGCTCTCCAGAAAGATGGAGTATTTGGGGTCAGCAATTGGAAGTAAGTCCTTTAACTTCTGACTTCCCTACTAGAAGCTGGGGACCAGCTCAGTTTAAATATTGTCCCACACTGCTTCTGACACCAAATTCTATAGAAGTTTTGCCTTGGTTTTGGAGTGTATGCATAGACTTCATAAGAGCACCAAAATACAGCTTCAAGGACTTCTCAGTCCCTACAGAGCTGCCCACTGCATCCCTGCAGGCAGCCTGCAGGCCCTGCCAATACAGACTGGGCACCTTAAACATGCAGTACTTCTGTTGATTCATGAAAG